AATTTTTCTCAAATAGTCGGTAGTCTACGGTCAGAATTTTCAGTTGTCAGGGACGGTCGCTGGTGGTCTACGGTCAGTCACAACTGATAGCCTTCAATTTCGTTGCAAGACTGCGTGATTTTTTGTGACCTGTGGGTTAGTTCTGTGAATTTTTTTTTTTTTTAGTTACATAAATGTGTGTTCTTGATTCTTGAACATAGAAACCGTTTAAGTTATTACAAAACATAGTTTGTCATATTGATTCTTGAAAATCCCTAAATTCGTAATTTTTTGTGACATGTGAATTATTTCTATTTTCGAAATTCTGTGATTTTAGTTACATAGATGTTTGTTCTTGATTCTTGAACATATAAACCATCTAAGTTGCCCGTGAAATTATACGACTGTGATTTTACTTTATTGTGACTTTACTTTGATTTTGTTCGTATTTAAATTTATAGTTAATATATTTAGTTTAGTTTAGATTTATTGTCAGTAAGATATAAATATATATTGAATTAATGGCATAAAAATAAACACTAGACAGACAAAAAATTATACGCGAAACTGGCGGTTTAAAACCGGACCAAACCGTTAGGTTTAGGTTTGAATTTTTTTCTAACCACCGATCAAAACGGTTTGGTTTAGGTTTGAGTTTTTCTCAAACCGGTTGAAACGGTTTGATTTGAAAATTTATCAAAAATCAGTAAAATCGAACCGCTTACACCCCTACATAAATGCAAATGTAGTCAACAAACCCAAAATTAAGTCAAGCAATGAAATTTTTTCATTTAAAACCTTGTTTGACCAAGCAATTTCGCCTCTGGACACCTTCGAGAAAAATCGAAAATTTCTCGAGCAACCTCTGGGCATATGAAAAAGGGTATAGTAGTCTCACACATATTCAAAATTGAGGTCAAACTGGCTTCATTCGGATTAGGAAACTGAGGGACGAAGTGAGAGACGTGAAGTGATATGTGCCTAGCCATGTTGTAATTGTGTGGTCATTTTCAATTCAGTGTTTCCAAGTACATGTGTCAAAGAAGTACTTAGCTACATTGTTAAATTCAAAATGAACCATAATCCGACACATATGCATTTCATCGAACACTTTGCAAGCACTTTATTTTCCATGGAAATTTCAAGGTCTTAGTCATTAATCAAACTACATCTATTTTCAATACAACTCAACCATTACAAACCCCATCATCTACCTAAATGCCCCACTCCTCAATCAAGCACTTTTCCAATTCGTTCTCGAAACCAAAATGAAATTGCATAAGGGGGTAGAAATGAGGAACTTACCTTGATGTCGACTTTGATTGTGAAGAATAGTTGAGACAATGTGAGTGTGAATGATGTGTTGTGGGTGTGTATGGTGTAGGCGGGGTGGTCGAATGGTAGGTGTGTGGTTGTGTGCTTGAGTGTGTGTTCATGTGCATAGAGAGAGTGAGGGGTGTGTGGTGTGCATTGAGTTTTAAAACTAGACTGGGCCAAAGTGTTCTATGCGGGTCGCATAGAACACTTCCATGCAATCGCATAGGACAGCTTGTCGGGCCGAAATTGGCCCTGATTTGTGTCATGCGACCGCATACCTGTAGTGCTATATGGTTGCAAGACTACTAGGTATGGGTTTTTTTGGCATGTTTCAAAAATTTCCCACGTTCGATCATTCGAGATCCCCGAGGCTTCGATTTTCATGCTGAACAAGTTCATCTGAATGAAATGAGTAAGTGCAACGTAGAACATTTTTAAAACATACTCAACTCTGTGGAAACTCCTTTTTGGTCAATTTTCACTAAAAACTCACTTTTCAATCTACAATGCAACACGGCTTTCCATCGTCCCCACAACTTGTCAAAACACATTTTAACCACATGGTGTGCGTGGATGCCATGAATTTGGTTCCAAAAATATTTTTTAACTTGAAAACACATATTGATCCCGAAAATCCCAAAATTGATCGTTTTATTTCGAAATGCATGACTTTCACACCAAATCAACTAAGGGGGTATTGGAAGAATTAATTTTTGAATAGTGATATGATAGGAAATGTGTGTTTGAAAAAGAAAAAATTATTGATGTGATGGAAAATATTATTTTATTGAAAAATATATGGTTGAAAATGAGAATTGATTTACTGTAAAATTT